TATAGATAAACCAGAGTGCACAGAAAGAAAAAATCAGAGTGAATTTTATTTTCAGCTTCAAAAAAGTTGCATTTTAAAATAAAAATTAGTCTAGAAATTCAAAGAGTAAAGTTTTAAAACATGATTGCTAAAATTAAAAATTAATAGCTTGTCTATTAGAAGATAAACTTAAGGAAATCTCAAAATAACAGATAGAACCTTTGGAAGAAAAACATGATAAAAAATGGGGCCTCCCCGGTGGCGCAGCGGTTGAGCGCTGGGTTGCGAAGCTGCGCGCGGCCTCTGCGGCGCCGGTTCGATCCCCGGCTGCTCCCCGGCCACCAGAGGAGGGTCCCACATGGCGCGCAGACCTCTCCTGCCGCCCGCTGCTCCCCTCAGCAGTGTCCTTCGGTCCTTCTGCCTGCTCTGCTCCCCACTCTGGCTCTGGTGAATTCTCTCGCCCTCCCGCGCTTCTGACTGTACCCAGTGCATGTATAAACAAAACAAACAAACAAACCAGCAAACAAATAAATAAAGCATGCCTCTATAAAAAAAAAAAAAAAAAAACATGATAAAAAATGAAGAAGCTCCATTATTAGGTGTTTTATGGGGGAAAAGAAAGAGGATAGAGAAAATGAATAAAGAAGCGTCAAAATTTCCAGTGACAAGGAACACTGGTATGCAAGTTAAAAGGACCACTGAGGGCCTCCCCTGGTGGCACAGCGGTTGAGCGCTGGGTTGCGAAGCTGCCTGCAGCCTCTGCAGGGCCGCTTTGGTCCCCAGCTGCCGGCGAGGGTCCCACATGGCACGCAGACCTCACCTGCCACCCGCTGCTCCCCTCAGCAGTGTATTTCGTCAGTCTGCCTGTTCTGTTCCCCGTTCTGGCTCTGGTGAGTTCGCTCACCCTCCCGCGCTTCGGACTGCACAGTGCTTGTATAAATCAATCAATCAATCAATCAATCTTTAAAAAAGGACCACTGAGTGCTCAATGAAAAAAAAAATAAAAGACCAACCTTATGAAAGATCATCACCTGTTCTGCTCCCTGCTCTATCTCTGGTGGATCCTCTCACCCTCCCACACCTCTGCCCTGTACCCCTGTTCTTGTATAAATAAATAAATCTTTACCAAAAAAAAAAAAAATCTTTAAAATGACATCCCTGGGAATAAAATTCTAAATGAGTCAAAAAGGAGAAAAAAAAGCTTAAAAGGATACACATTTATCAGAACAGAAGCTAGAGGCAATTAACGCTTTTTTTTCGGAAGTTTCACAGAAAATGTTTTTCAACTTAAAAGCTTACAGCAAGACAACCTATCAGTTTTGTGTAAAGGCAAAAACAAAAACAGTTGAGAAAGACATTTTTAGAAAAAGTAACTCTTTTTTAGAGAGTTACTTAAAGATGTTTTCCAATAAAATAAGGTAGCGAATTAAGAGATATTCATGAAAATCAGCACACAGAGTCTCCAATCCAAAAAAGCAGTGAAATGCAGGATGACAACTGTACAACAGATCTAAAGCTAACTAGTCAAATTGGAAGAGGAAAGGAATATAGAATGAACTAGTAGAGACAAACTGAGAGGCATATTTAAAACACACACACACACACACACACACACACGATCAATAGACTTGCTGATATGAAAAAACAATTGAAGCCATCAAGAAAAAGTCTGAAAGAAACAAAGACGGAAAAAAAAGAAGACAGGCAAGGAGGAAGAATGAAAGAAGGCAAGGGGCCTCCCTGTGGCCTGGAGGTCAAGTCTCAGCACTATCACCCCTATGACCTGAGTTCAATCCCCAGCCAGGGAGCTAACCCACATATGGCAGCATATCTCTCCTGTCTTTCCTGCTGCTCCCCTCAGCAGTGTATTTCAGTGGATCTGCCTGTTTTGCTCCCCAATCTGTCTCTGGCAAATCCTCTAACCCTCCCCCACCATACCTCTGGCTTACATCCCAGTTCTTCTAACAAAAAAAAAAAAGAAGAAGAAGAAGAAGAAGAAGAAAGACAACAAATAGAGACCCATGGGAGTAGGGTGAGGGGTGAGAAGAAATTATGCCATCAAGAAAATATAATAATAGAATAATACTTTGTTCTGCAATAACAAAAAATTATTTTTCACTGACATGATATGATAAATGTATATAACTGATCCAACTCAAAATAGAAAAGTAACTATCTTGGAAAGATGGGAGGGAAAGGGAAGAGACAATGAAAAAGGGATCATCTCTTCACCATTAGAGCAAGTCAATATGTAAGTTTAAAATTGATGAATCAAGTAATATAAATATGACATTTGGAGATATGCAGGTAATTATCAAAAGAGACAGGTGAAATGGGTAAATATGGAAGCAGGGCTACAGAGTGGAGCAGAATGGAGAAATTAGGTGGGAGACTTGTTCCTTCTTATGTCTTTAGGTGCAATTTGATTTTTTTAAACTACATGCACTCATTGCTTTGATTTAAATATTTTTAATTATCAAAAAAGTGTAAACAGTTTCTCTTATTGTGCAATGTGAGCTCTGCATGTAGGGGTAAGAGAATTCCTTACAAATAAAGGTTTGAAACACATCTGGGTCTACAGATAGAAAGGAATTAGTTACCATGGCAACTCCAAAGCAGTAAAGAGAATAAGTTATAAAACACCCTCATGAAAGCCACAGCAGTAGGATTTAGAGAGATTAAAGACCACTCTAAGGGAATGATTCCTGGGTACCTTGAGACAGCTTTCTGAGTCAGGACAGTGGGTTCTTGTAATGAGCTAGTAGACAAATAAGAAAAAGACAGATTTCTCTCTCTCTCTCTCTCTCTCTCTCTCTCTCTCTCTCTCTCTCTCTTTCTCTCTCTCTCTCTCTCTCTCTCTCTGGAGATTCTAAAATTGGCAACCTTTCTTGTCAGTGAGGTTGAGCTTCTGCTTGAGGTTATCAAAATCTGAAAACCAAACCCAAACAGAATCTCTATTATACAAATATCTCTGGTAATGTGATCAGTTCTCTGAGTATGATTATATATACAAAGGTTTCCTATCTGTCAACTCTAATAATGATAACAATAACTAACGGTGGTTTAGAAGTATTTTCATACATTGAAAACTTTAGAGTTATCAAGCACTTTCTTGTACTTCATTTCATTTGATTCACAAAGCAGCCCTAGAATATAGGTAATACAAAGTATTGCTGCAATCACCCCATTTTATAGACAGAATTCCTAAGTTCCAGAAAATTACTTGAACAATTTACCTAACTAATTAAGTGGCAAGGAGGCTGGGATTCAGTGTGTTCCTGATTCTTATCTTACTCTCAATCCTTGACATCATATGCCTGAACTACAAGCCAACCTACTGACTGGTGTTTATTAACTGTCACCACACAGGGACACCATGAATTACTACACAAATTGTGGTTTACACAAGGCTGCCATCCAGGGATCAGGTGAGAACTGAGACCTAGTCCTCCCAACTCCCACCAGCACAACATCCAAGCTCCAGTATAAGCCTTTTTATAATTCATACCAATTATGCAATGGCAATGCCTTGTCCATATATACAAATTAACAAGTTTACCACCCCCTTTCTCCTCTCTATTCTCCCATAACACTCTCCAACCCCTGCAACCACCATGAAATAAGAATCCTATGGGCTTCTGTCTCAGGACCAAAGATATATCACATCCATTAAAATAAATATGAGATAATAGCTAAGTAGCAGCTGCTGTTTAGGTACTGGGCATATAGCGGTTAACAAGGACCCTGGTCTCATGAAACTGAGATAGTAGGTAAGAGAAAGACAAATGGCAGATGCACAAGAAAACATCAGAAGTGTTGTGTTACACAGAGAACTAAAGTAAGTTGTACATAATAATGATTCAGTAGTTGCCTTACATTTGGAATCAGGAAAGACCTCTAGGAGAGGACATTTAAGTAGCTGTTGGTTGGAACCACAAGAGAAAACCCACAGGGGGAAGGTCAAGGCAAAGACAGAGTCCAACAAGATGAAATAGTTAATGTAAAGTCATGGGGCAAGAAGCATCTTGGTCTGTTCACTGGATCAGAATAGAGTCAGGGAAGCTGAGTAGTGTGGTGAGGATAGCAGCTAGCGGGAGGAAGCTGGAGAGGTTGGCAGGGACCCAGTTGTAGCAGAGCCTGTCAGTCAGATGGGGAGTCTGGGTTTTATTCTCAGTGCAGTGGGGGAAATTTAAGGGAAGTGACAGGATCTGATTTCCCTTTTTCAAAGGATCTTCCTGTTTGCTGTGTGGAGAATATAACTTAACTGGGCAAAAAGACTCCAGGCACCTAAGGAAGACTTATGTGTAGATGGAGAATGTCATGTCCATGAAGAAGCTCAAATGGCACCAGTGACTAGGTACACATGAACTATCTTCATGGATTTGTATGACTTTCCTGGGAATCTAAGACTACAGGAAGAGTGCTCAGGTGTAACTGATACTGATTGGTTTCTATCAGTTCATACAGTTGATCTTTGAATGACACAGGGGTGAGGTGGGTTCAGGGAGAGTTAAGGGTGCTGACCCCCCTACCAAAGAATAGAAAATCCATGTACAGCTTATACTCCACCATTGACATCTCTGGTTTGGCATCCTCAGATTCAACCCAGCAGTTGGTAGAATTACTAAATAAGGACCCACAGATAGAAAAATATCCACATATAAGTGGAAGTGTGCAATTCAATCCTATCTTGTACCTTATTTGTTCTCAGGAAATATCCCCTAGCTTCCTCCGGTAGACTTAAGTTTTCCCCTTTCCTGGGCTTCAAGCGTTTGGTTCATTGGTCTTCAGGTGTGCCTCACACCAAGTACACAGTTGTCTGCTCCATAGAGAGTGATCTGTGTCTCTGATTACCTGACACAAAACTAGTACTTCACAAAAGCTCGATAATGTCTGACCTGGTGGGTGAATGATGATTTGGGAGCTGTGTGAACATTCTTCCATTTCCAGAAGCCCCCAAAAATACAGTGGTGCTAAAAATGCACCCCACAAACAGGACATCCCCACCCCCAGGCCCTTACCTCTTGGGAGAGTCAGGGTCGAAGCAGGTCCTGCGCACGTCAGCCACTTCAGGGTCGCAGCAGTCCCCGTCATCAAAGTCATTCAGCATGTTGTTGCACTCGGCGTGGCACAGCCCGTCTCTGCGGTTCCAGGAGTAGCAGCGGCCCTGCAGACGGCAGTCACCCCCATCGTAGCCCGTGAGTGGGTGCTCACACTCAGGGTCACAGTGGTCATTGCCAATCTTGCTGGGCTCACAGTTGACGAGCACAGCCCGGTGGCGCAGGGTGGAGTTGTGGACATGGTGGACACTCAACTGCCAGCTGATGTTGTAGCGGCTGAAAGCTTCATTCAGTGCCTCGTGCTGCCGCCGGATCTGCTGCTCACTCACCGTGGGGTTCAGACCCTGATCATCACAGATGTTCACCACCTGGTAGCGAATCACCTTCTCTCCCCGAAGGGGCCAGTGTACGTTGTACTGGGAGATCAGTTCCACATTGTCACAAGCCGTTTGCCCACAGAGTGGAGGCTGCAGCGGTGACAGAATCTCTGGCTGGGGCCCTGAGCCCTGGAGGACCTCCAGCCTGGGGTAATTCCCATCTCTAAAGGGGGCCCACTGTTCTTCCATGGGCTTGAAATTGGCCGTCAGGATCAAGGTGGTCAACTCCTCTGCCACACTTGGATGCTGAGGACTGTGCTGGAGTTGGCTTTGTGGGAGGGCTGTGGACCAGACAACCAGTGTCCCCACATGTCCACGGTAATAATGTCCGTTCTCTGAGCTATCCCCTCCCAGGAGGAAAGAGCGGCAAGATGCCATGAAGGGGCTGTTCAGGGGGCCAGACTGCTCTTGACTACTAGCCACCTGAGTGCCATCCACATACAGGGCCATCCGCCGTCCATCATAAGTGGCTGCCACATGTGTCCACGTTCCTGGCTGGTAGCGACTGTGGCCAGTCACAATGGTGGCTTTCTTCATGCGGTCAGTGCGGAGGGAGAAGAAGAAGCGAGCATCTCGCCTTCCTGTGTCCTGCCCTGAGCGGATCCCCAGGGCCCAGCCCTTGTCACTGACAGTGTGGGAACAGTTATCAAACACACCTGGGAAAGAAGGAAGAATCGAAGGGAGAAATACCAGATACAAAGGGGATGGAGAAAAGGAGAAGAAAACCCATGTAAATAGCGTGAATACAGGTTCTTCATGGGAAAAATTTAAGTGATATTGATTCCCCAGCTGATAAACCTGTCCAGTACCCCACATTAGGCTGTTCTGGCAATATGTGTCCCTCAAAGGAATCTGATTTAAGATACCATTCAACTTGACTTATTCTGGTATTTTTCAGTGACCAAAATGGAAGCTGGAAAGGGGGTCTCCAATGCAAGTGACAAAACCCTCTTCTAGAACTTTGTCACAAATGTTCCCTAGCCTGACTCTGAGTCCATGCCTGGTCCTAGCCCCTTTCCACTTCCTGGGAAGCCATGAAGACAATTGTACTCACAAAAGACAATAATCTTCTATCTCCTTAAAATCCACTTTTCTCTGGTGAATATTGTTTCTCATCAAGAAAACAAGCTTTTGATCTGTAACATCTCAAACATCATTCCCAGCTCACTATTCCTTCGAACGCCTCTCTCTGATGGGCAAGGACACCCATCCACAGAGAACAGCTGTCAGACAGTGTAAGCAAAATGCTGGCCACATGGTCCTAACCTGAAAAACTACTATAAGGTATAAGAATGATTGTTCTCTCACCAGTGATGCCCAGCACAGGACAGAAGTGGAAATTCCCCAGGTAAATGAAACTCTTCACCACACATGACCTTCTCACCTTGCTCATTGCATAAAATTATTAAGTCCAGTTGAATACAAAAAGGAGTAAACACAGGGCCTCTTCTGGTGGTACAGCGGTTGAGCGCTGGGCTGCGAAGCTGCCCAAAGCCTCTGCAGCACCGGTTCGTCCCCGGCCGCCGGCAAGGGTCCCACATGGCGCGCAGACCTCTCCTACCGCCCGCTGCTCCCCTCAGCAGTGTATTTCGTCAGTCTGCCTGTTCTGTTCCCTGCTCTGGCTCTGGTGAATTCTCTCACCCTCCCGCACTTCTGACTATACCCAGTGCTTGTATGAATGAATAAATAAATCTTTTAAAAAATTAAAAAATAAAAATCAACTTTATAAAAAAAAAGGAGCAAACACATTTAGCTAACTAGATCAATAATATGTTGGCAGCAGAAAGGAGCAGTAATACAATCACAGATGAAAGAGTGATCTTGAAGATAATTTGAAGGCCTAAACAGTCCCCAGAAACCCATTTTCCATTTTAAGTCCACCATCTTCTCGAGAATTCTAGCATAGTCTCAGGATCAGATTTTAGTTATAAGTTATGTAAGAGGCAGTACATTCACAGAGAAAATGCTTTAACTAACCAAAACTGGAGAAATCTGCTGGCTTATGGATTAGACACTTGAGTCTCCCACCAGGAGTCATTCTTCCCTCACCTATTATTCAATATTGTGTATTCCTTTGTTCTCCTATATAATTCACTCAACCCGTACTTCTCCACTGAGAGTCTGGATTTGCATGGCATGAGAACCCCCATTCTGATTACAGACAAGTGTTTTAAAATAGCTACATTTTCATAAATGACAGTATTGCTTCTCTTCTGTCTCTTGCATAAATTAATAACTCATGACTTAAAAAACAAAGAATTCTCTTAAAACACTTAACTAAACAACCCATTCCCAACTGATTATTTCTAACAAATTATAATTTAAAGTACTGATAATAATGAAGTTATATTTACAATGTAATAGTACATTCCAATTCTATTTCCTGGGGTTTTCTTGTTTTTTTTTTTTTTTTTTTTTTGTGCTGAGGTATGTTGGTAAGAAACCTAAGATTACTGTTTTCCAATTTTTATATTGGGTAGCTTCTCAATAGCACAGATAAATCTATTAAGATGAATAGCAAGTTCCTTACTTCATCATTTCTCCTTAATTCATTACTTTGGGAGGTATATTAAGCCTTAATTATGTCCATCTGCTAACCTATGAACAAATGTGCCCTATCTAGTATCAGGACCATGGAGTTACTAATCTCTCAACTAATAAATTGCCGGGTATTAAGAGGAAGAATTGGGAAGGCTATTTCATATTTGTTGCACATGTAAAGTTGTATGTACATGTTTCCTCCAATATCCAAAAGTAGAGCATTCCTATGAAATATTCCTCAAGTGAAAATGGCATAAATCAAAGAAGCAATTTCCATTAGTATAAATGGAAAATATTTTGAGTGGTCCCAGACACAAAAAAATCACCTACCAAGTCATATCAAATAACTCACAAAACCTAAAATAATACTATCATAGAGTACAAGAAGAATGACATGAGAAATACACAGTCTATGTAAGTAGTTCCCAGAAAGGAGCTGGCAAGGACAACTCTCACTGCACACTGTGCTGCTGCCTCTTGAAGCAGCTGCTGCAAAACAAATGCTAATGTTATTTTCACTTTTTTCTTTTGTCATAAAAGCGAAAATCTTTAAAAACAAAACTCATGCCATTTGCAGCAACATGGATGGACCTGGAAGGGAGTATGCTAAGCGAAGTAAATCAGAAGGAAAAAGGAAAATATGATGGTTTCACTTACAGGTGGAATACAGGGGAACCGAGAAAAATGTAAGGAAAAAGGCATAACTTGCAAGCTGACATAGATCTGATGCATACAGCAGGGAATGAGGAGAAAGGGGGGTCAAAACAGGAGTGGGAAGAGCACAAGGGAATATGGTGATGGTTCAAGGGTGTTGTGTGTACAGAAATGAAGAGCAATGTAAGAAAATAATTTTCAAACCTTATTGGAAAAATAAGAAGTTATTTTCAGTCAATAAAAAAAATAAACTAGGTACTAATGTAGGGCTTTTGTAAAACAAGGAGACCTAACACAAACTTTCAGGTGGGAGAAAAACCTGTATATATTATTTGGATGGGAGGTACAAATTGTTGAATTTGACATTAAAATTACTAGGTAGTTAACTGTTACTCACCAGGCATCTAGTTACAAATGTGAACACTTTCATTTACTGTCTTTAGAATGTCTACTGTAGTATCAAGAAAGTAATTTTTACCTACTAAACTCATAGGAAGCCGTAAAAATATTGAGTGTGTCCAAATATTTCTAACTTCTTAAGTATTACATAGAAGGTGGGATTTTCCTATAATACTAGTCTAGTTTTGATTAATCTAAGTTTCAGTAATTATATTAGAAAGATTGTTTGGTAATAGCATGAATCTAGTCTATTTTAGTTGGCAATTTTAGCAAATCTATAGAAGTACTATTTTCTAAATGATTATCAAAGCAATGATTCCTTGTTCTCTAATAAGATGATCAAGCATTACATGAAAAACCTCACTAAGTGCTTAGATAATCACATTTTATTTGCTATCTCACTGTTACCATTATTTATACTTTATCTATAGGAAGAGAGGATAATTAGTTGTTAAACCTACCCTGAACCCATTCCTATATATATCAAACAGAATTATCTAATTCAATGGCTAAGAACAGAATGTTTGTATCCCCTGCCCCATAATTCCATAATTGAAATCCTAATCCCCAATGTGATGATATTTGTAATAAGGCATTTGGGAGATAATTGGTTCATGATGTTGGGTACCCCATGACGGGTCTGTTTAAGAGGAAGAGAGGTAGTCCTCTTTATCCTTGTGAAGATACAAAAAGATGGCCATCTACAAAGGAAGAAGTGGGCCCTCACTATACACTGGACCTACTGTTGCCTATCTTGGACTTTCCAACCTCTAGAACTGTGAGGAACACATTATTTTCCTTAAGTCACCCAGTGCATGGTATATTTGCTAAAGTAACCAAAACTGACTAAGACACCAATGTCCTTAACACTCATTGTGGATCAAACTCCTGTGTGGAATTCTTTTTTTTTAAAGATTTATTTATTTATGCATACAAGAACTGGAGTAAAGGCCAGAGGTGTGGGGGATGAGAGGATTCACCAGAGAGAGTGGGGAGTAGAACAGGCAGATCTACTGAAATACACTGCTGAGGGGAGCAGTGGGCGAGACAGGAGAGGTCTGCTGGGCCATGTGGGTTTTTCCCTGGCCAGCCGGGGATAGAACTCGTGCTGTAATGGCTGGCAGTAGCTTGAAAGCACTGTCTTTAACCCCTGCACCCCAGGGAGGCCCTGGATAACTACTGTTAATAGGTGATATTTACTTAGCACTTACTATGAGCTAGATATTAAACTAAGTGCTTTACATGTCTCTTCCAAACTCCCTGTATATAGAAGATACTACTATTAACCCCCATTTTAAGTTGATGAACCTGGGGTTTAACAGATATTTACCCAGTCACACAGTCAGACAGAAAAAAATCTAATACTAGAAAAGTATATGTCAACTTCTAATTAATGTCATTTTCCCCCCTTAGAACCAAGGACTAAGATACTCAAACTGCCATTTAAGTATCTCTTAATTGCCAGATACTCTACCTAGTGTTTTAAATATCTCATTTGATTTCATTTTCATAATAATCCCATGAGAGAGCACTTTTGAGTTTTGGGGGGTTTTTGTTTGTTTTTACATTTTTTTTATTTTATATATTTTACATCATTTTTCATTTTTGCACAATGTATGCATTTTCATCTTGGTCACAGACCCCATTCAATTCCCACTACCCTTGTTTTGATCCTACTCCCTTCTCTCCCATCCTGTAGTGTTTCTCTGGTTTATAGATGCTTGTTGATTTTGATTTTTACTTTATTATAATTATAATTAGTCTTTTTCCTGGTCCCTTATTTAGGTTTTCTAAATTCCTGCTAGGAGTGAGACCATCTGATATTTTTCTTTTTCTTTCTGGCTTATTTCACTGAGCAGGATCCCTTCCGGCTCCATCCATGTTTCTGCAAATTGCATGAGTTTATCTTTTTAGATTGCTGAGTAATATTCCGTTGTGTATATGTACCACATCTTCTTGATCCAGTCATTATTTTGGGGCATTTGAGTTGTTTCCATAGCTTACCTATTGTAAATAGTGCTGTTATAAACATAGGGGTGCAGGTGCCCTTTGGAATTAATGT